CATGTACAGGCGGATCGTTGACATGAGGAAGTGCCTCCTTCCCCAAAACAGCAAGGGATCCAGCTGGAAGCAGAGCAATGGCAAGCATCGCCGCAACAAGAAGTAGATGATTAGATCCTCGTTTCTCCTAGTTTAGTATGCATGTAATTGCTTACTTTGGTGTGTGAAAATGTTATGTGTGTAGTCACTTGTGTAATTGTATGCTTAATTTGGTTATGCAATGCTGTATTTTTAAGTATATATATATGTTGATGCTCTGTAGACAGAGCAAATCACATCGCACACAGACTAAACAATGGAACCCGTCAGTGATGATTTCATCAATCACTTACAATTGTATACAAACAATTGTTTGCTCACAACACAAGGCTTGTTAACATGAATCGTCTGTGTTGTTATCGGTCTTCCCACACATTTCCGATTACAGACCTGTTTGCCGCTATCACACGCATCTTGTTAAGTTGAACCATTTCTGTTCTCTTGGCTCAATGCAAATAGTTCATCCGAGTGAACTATATGCCGTATATCGCACACACCTTCAACTAGCTACCCATTTCTGTTGTTCCTCCTCATCGCAAATAGTTCATCCGAGTGAACCGTATGCTCTACATCGCACACGTGGCAGCCCGTTTCTTCTGTTCACCCTCATCGCAAACAGTTAACTGAACTGAACTGTATGCCCTGAATCGCACACGCAGCAAAAATCTGAACCGTGTTTGATGCATCCGTCATCACAAACGTTTTGCACCCTTTTTGATGGTTTTTTACACCACCGTTTGCGATTATTGCATCGCACACAGTTTCGTCGAAGGGTCTCTGATCGTAGTGTCGCGTTGGCAGCATCCTGTAGTAGTGGTTGTATCAATGGTCGATAGAACTCGAGGGCATATTTGTTCTACCTTTAGCTCCTTGTTGGGTTCGACACTCTTATTTATCGAAGAAGGCTACAAACGATCCCCTATACTTGTGGGTTATCAAGGACGCGTATCAGTCTCCGTGTTGTTCTTCATCTTCGATCATCAGTCTTGCAAGCTGGTTCAATGAGTCTCCCATCTTCTTCTCCGAAGTGGTCAAGCTTTAACTGGTAAGTTTTATACCTCGGGTACCCAAGGACTCCTCTAAAATTTCAAAAACTCTTTATTCAGAGCTTTTATAGTGTCCGAGGAGATCCTCGAAACCGAGGATCTTGAGTCGTGCGCCTCTACCTTAAGGGCGAAGCAAGTTTTCTAACGAGGACCGGACGATGTCCCGACCTCACCGTGACAACTTTAAACATGTTGTCGTATCATGGGTCTTCGTGGCGTACACGCGTGACTCAGGCCCCCACGATTGAGATGTCCAATCGAGTGAGTCGCAACATGCCCCAAGACATGTAAAGCGACATTATTATCCGTCCCCTTGGTCTCCGCGCGTGCATCACACGACGCGTGGGGAACACATGGTTTTACCGTTGTAGGACTCAAGTGTCCCATCGCCCCATACTCCCATGGCAAGGAATTCATAGCACTTAGAGCGTAGAAACTACATCAATATTACTATTGTTGGTTTGTTGCTCTTGCAAGTATTTTGCCAAACATTGTATAGGAAAAAAAGAGTGGTGTTAGAAAAAGATCGAGGCCTTCTTTGTTTGGCCTTTTGCTTCTGCTTTTGTAGCTTTTCCACTTTGGCCAACAAGCCATAAAAGCTCATAAATAGGTGCTTTTAGAGCTTTTATAGCTTTTGGAACTAAATATTGTTATATTCATTCATCAAAATCCATAAAAGCTGCAAAAGCACCTATTTAGGAGCTTTTATAGCTTTTTGGTCAAAGTGGAAAAATTGCAAAAGTAGAAGCAAAAGCACAAACAAACAAGGCCTGAAACAAATTGTCTTTAAGACAACTAGCTCATGATTCATTTACTTTTGAAGGGAATCCCTTAGTTTATGGTTCCTAGCTAAACTAACAAAACATAGTTTATGTTTGCGTCATGTCAGTGACACTTAGTACATGATAGTTATGGAGAACCACAAAATTGGAAAATATACTCCATAGTACTCAATTCCCATATGATGCATCGTAGTGAATACTTGGTAACTATTCAAGTTGATAACATTGAACTCCTAGCAAAGAATTATCGTACAAAAATGAAAGATAAGTCATGACACATTTGCAAAAAAATGCAGAGAAATTCCTCTCACATGTATATATAGTTGTCACTTCAAACTAGAAAAGTGGTGAAAATTTCTTAACTTAATTGAGCCTATGATAATAGTTGAGCCCAACCCTGCCTAACCCTACATGATTTTCTAAAACCAAACACAGCAGCTAAGATCTAAAGGCATGGAAGAGGAACACAGTTGGGAGCCAATTGCGGAGGAGAGGGGTGCATGAGAAGTCACTCAAAGTGGTAAAAAGGTGGCGGTGGAATGTCGGCAGCCTCTCGTCCGACACTAGCCGGCCGTACAATTTCTTGTACCTGGAATGTCCAAGTATCGTTGCAACTATTTAGACCACAAAGGTGGATTGCTGCAAAGCAAATTAAATTGCTTGTTGGACATGACCAAAAAAAGTCAAGAGATAAATAGTGCATGAAGCGATAGTAAGAAGGTGATAAAGTGTACAACGCTACAATTCAAGCAAGGCCATAGTTCACCCGCAAAAAAAGAGAGCAAGGCGATAGTTAACAATAAGCCAAGAACAGATCATTTGCTCACAAAGCAGAAACCTATTTAATCATAACAAGAAAAAAAGCACAAACACATAAGTAATAAGTTTAGCGGTGAACTGCAAAATAAAAATTCCTTGAATGCATGATATGATACTCTAAAAGGAGGGTCAGCTCATATTAAAACAACATTTCTTCAAAATCAATGATGATACGGTAAAAAAGATCACCTGAACGTGAATCCTATGGCCACGAGCATATTATTTTTGAATGATATGGAACATTTTTAAAATTATGCGAACATATTTTTACTCTATATTTTTTAAAGGCTATGAGCATATTTTTGAAATGCATGAACATTTTTTAATGCCATGAACATATTTGTGAATGATAGTATGAAATAGTTTTTCTAAATAATGCACACATTTTTCTACATTGTATCATCATATTTTTAAATGTCACAAAAATATTTTTGAAATGAATTAATATATTTTAATATGTTATCAATATATTGTTAATGGTACGAAATTTTTTCCTAAATTACCTGAACATTTTTTACATTTTACAAATATATTAGAAAAATGCCATTATCATAATTTTGAAAGGCACGGACGTTTTCTTGAATGATATCATTATTTGTAGAAGTTACACAAACCTTTTTTGCACTGCATAAACATATTAAGCATGCGACTTTTTTCTTTTTTTCTTTTTCTAACTGGGCATCCCCTTTCCATTAATTTTGATAATCGAAATACAAAGTTCACGACTAGTACCAAGCAGAACTAGGAAGAAGGAAAGCGAGAGAAGCGAGTTAGGGCATGTATAATGATGCTATTTTATGAGTGCCACGTAGAATAAATAATGAAGTGGAAGAGAAAGAACTCGTAAGAAAAAGCTTGTCTTATCTTATTTCGACTCGCTCTGCGCCCTGCGGGCAAGACAACGACGCGGCCCACGTGGAAGCCTCGAGATCTTGGTAACACGAAGCGGTATCCGGCAGGGATTTGGGCCCTGATCAAAAAGAAGGAACTTCCCGGAAAAAAAAAAGAAGGACGGCTTCGAACCCGGACCCGAGGATCCCCGCCGCCGCACCTGTCGATCGCGCCGCCGCCCGCGCATCCCGTGTCCACCCACCCACCCACCGCGTCCCCTCTCTCCGAGTCGTCCGTCCTTCCTGGTTCCTCCGCCCAGGCCCGTGCCCCTCGCGGAAGAAAGGTATGCATGTGACCCCAAATCCCCGCGCGATGATAAACCCTAAACCCTAGGAGGTTGCTCTGTGTGGATCTGTCGCGGTCGTTTACGGACGGACGGATTTCTTTTCCGCACATAATGTCTTGCTTTGTTTGGGCACATGTTGATCGGTCATCTCGAGTCGGAGATGGAACTGGCCTAATGTATCATTTTTATTGTTTCGCCCTTTTGTCAAATTTGCATCTTTTCCTCAATAAATAAATAAATAAATAAACTGCATCCCATATTCGTTATATGTATCATGAAGACCATGGATCTGAAGCTAGGACTGTTTCCAGTCACCCTGCAGTTTCCGGAATACTTCTTCAGGATGCAAATCTCAGCCTGTACCCTGTATTTGTCACCAATACGTTTGTAGATGAGCATAGGATGATTTTAGGAAGGAAAATAATAATTAATTATGCTGTTTTGGGCTACTGCATTGGATGCTTTATATGCCTGTCGATCCGGTCTAGAATAAGAAAATGAGGGTACGAGTTCCTAGGCCACAGTTGTGGAGTGGGGTAGTAAGAGCACTGACTATTTAAACGATGAAATTTGAGAGAACTCTTGACACTACACATTTGAGTATTGATTGAGGAGCAAATCGCCATGTTCTTAGCCAATAACCATAACTGGGCACAACCTTTGGTTTCACACTGAGAGTGAGTGCCTGTTCTGTTTTGCTTCTTTCGGGTTGAAATTTTAATGTCAAGAGTTGAAACTTTTAAAGTGGTTTTATTGAATGGAAATTTGGGTGCTCGAAATCCAGATTTGATTGCTTGAACGTTTTGATATCTATAATTGGACTGTAAAAGAAGGGTCATGTGCTATGTTCCTGACGAGCCCATGTCCAGGCTCCCCTGTTTGGCCACCAGAGATGAGCACGCATCACAGTTAAGTAGGCAACCCTCACATTCTAATTGTAAATGTTTACACTGTCTGTTATTTAGACTTAAGCTGGACAGAAAAATAGCGAGTCGAGGTGTGCTATTAGTTTGCTTGCATCTTTGTGCCCACTCTGAAGAGCATTCGTATATTCTTGGAACTAAACAGAATTATATAATGAACTTCCGCAGGCTGATCTGAGTTGGATCATCCTCCGCAGCCAACTTCTCTTTGGCAATGGTTTACTGTTCTCACTGTGATGATGATTGCCCATATGTAAAGGATCCTGACAACGGGTTCACGTGAGACCTTCATTCCCTCGCCTTTCACTATTCTTCTAATCTACTCCCCCCGTTCCAAAATGTAAGGCATGTTTTGATTTGTTAAAAGAAAGTGTCATGTGACATAAAATTTGATACTGTCATCACACTCGTATAAAAAAAACTTACTTTTGATTGCGATTTTTGATGGAGGGAGTATTAGTTGTTCACAATAGATTTGTGTGAACACAGCTGAAGCACTTTTGCACCTGTGTCCTTATGTTATTTGCCATGTTGACGTCAGATGTTGCGGAATGTGCGGCAAGGTTATTGATCAGGATATGTATACTGATGAGCCTACTTTTGTCAAGGACTCCTCGGGACAGGTTGGTATTGCTACCGCACTTTATTTATATTTAGTTTCTTGATTTGGATGAATACCTGTTGGGTTGATTTGTTTTGAATGTGCATAGAGTCGGCTTAGTGGACACATTATAGGCATTGCGAAGGGCGGTTCACTATCCCGTGAAAGAACTGAAGAGAAAGGTATTTCTTTCACCACATTCCTTTTTATCATATTATGCATCTCACTGGGGGAATTGTGTTATGGTTTACTTCCCCAGGGAGAGACGAGATCTGGCAGATTGTCCATGGCCTGCATGTGAGTGGTGGAGATGATATCATTTGCACTGCTCATAACTTTTATAAAGTATGCATCCTTGTTATCACACAAACATTTTCCGTTGTAAAAATGGTAGGGTATTTTCCTTATGTTGATATTTATCCTTTTTTAAATGTAGCTAGCTCTTGACAATAACTTTACTAGGGGCCGCCGAACAACTCATGTTGCAGCTTCTTGCCTTTACATTGCTTGCCGGTAAGCTATCACCTAATTAGTCCCGCTTTGTTAAAAGCCTTCCTATTGGAATATGTCTTGTTCAAACATGACATTCTCCCTTTCCACTTCGGGTGGGCCTCTGTGTATTATATGTTGTATTTGTTATGATTGGGCCACTGTTGGGGCTCATTTAGGGGCTGCTTCGTTTGATGCCAAAATTTGGGCAAGCCCAAAATTTGCTACCAAATTGCCTTGCCAACCTTGAAAAAGTTGCCATTGCCAAATATTGGCTTGCAAACCAAGGATGCCCTTAACTTCCTTGTGAAAACCTGCAGAAGCGTACCTTCAGTAGAGTGTCATATTGAGAAGTTCATGAAAGAGCAAGAAATGAAACTAAGATGGCTATGATCAAGACGAGCTTCTACAGAAATATGCATGCAAAATTCTTCTAAGTACATAAAAAATACAAAGGTGAACATGGTTCCATGCACATCCGCATGGATAGAAAATTTGAAAAGATACTAGAAAAATCCAAAAATTCTGAAATTTTGGTGCATCAAACTTGGTCGACCATTCTATGCACTATGTATGTTACAAAAAAAATAAATCAGATTTTGTTTTTTCTAATATTTTTTGAAAGGCTGCGTACTATAGACCCAAAGTGGTCGGACCCTTCCCTGGACCCTGCGCAAGCGGGAGCTACATGCACCAGGTTGCCCTTTTTTAATATTTTTTGAATTTACTATTCATCAGAGGTACACACACTTATTTATTTCTGAAGTTCAGCAATTGCTGTATCACTACCGCACGTTCAAGATAAGTCTCATCCATTCTGGTTAAATATTTTTAACTTTGACCGTCATATAGAAGAGTGGGTGCCTACCCTGTCCACATAAAACTGGTACCAATAGAATCATCAGGAAATGCACTTTCATAGTACATGCCTAAGATAATTCTAATTAGCATATTGTTTTTGTGTGATAGGAATTAGCAGTCAAAGTAGCACCTTGCAGACTTGGGTCTTGCCCAATAGAAGGCACGACACACTTATGTTTCATTTATCACTGTCCAAACAGTCATTTTTTTCTGTTTTCTTCTTCATTTTTTCTTGTCCTTGTGTCGCCCTTTCATGCTTGTGTTGGTGTTTGCTGCCTGTACAATGATTGTCGTTTTGGTATCTTCATGCTATTTGGGTAATACTAATGTCCATATTCAACTAATTGTTTTGTCAGGCGAAGTGAAAAACCCTATCTTCTTATTGATTTCTCGGACTATTTGCATATAAGTGTGTAAGTACTCACATTCTTATGCGCTTCATCTTGCATTCTTTGTTGAAAGGGCTCATCTTGATTTATGTTTCAGATATGTCCTAGGTGCTATTTTTCTGCAGCTTTGCCAAGTTTTGCTACTCGGAGAACACCCAATTGTTCAAAAGCTTGTAGATCCTAGCCTTTTCATCCACCGTTTTACCGAACGTAAGTTGACATACATGTGCATTCTTATCTTATATAAGATATACAAAACTTCTAGTTACATACTTATACATTAATAATGAATCAAAGCATTTACAGTTTTTCACGTGTCTCTTTTGTTTGTGATAAGGTAGTTCTTTGTGGGGTATGCCTTCTAGTTTGGATTTCTTGATTGTGTTTGTTGTGATAAGGAAGCAAATGTTATGAAGTCTAGATGTTTGCTTCTATCTATGGTAGACGGTAGCATATTCAAAATAATGTATACATGAATCATGGGAGCTATGTTTGCTCACCTTAATGGTCAAGATTTTCTGTGCCTGTCAAGGATTTGGAGTTCTGCCAAGCATATAGCCTTCATAGGGATGGCTAGACAATTACATCGGCTAGCAAATAGAATCAATGTGCTTTTAGTTACTTGTGATTTTGCTTCATTATTGGTAATGTGTAGGTTTATTGGGGAAAAGGGACAATGCTGTCTCGGACACAGCTTTACGCATTGTAGCTAGCATGAAGCGAGACTGGATGCAGGCTAGTATCCTCATCATTCTAGTTTCTTATTTAGGTTCTTTTGTAAGGTTGTAATAGCTTGTCCTATGTCGCAGACTGGGAGGAAGCCAAGTGGTTTATGCGGTGCAGCATTATATATAGCTGCACTTTCTCATGGACATATGTACACCAAGGCAGATATTGTAAGCCCGGACGCTCCGGATGGATCAACTTATTTACGAATTTTGTCCTTGATGTAATTCTTTGTAGTTTTAGCATTTATGGTTCCTGTGCAACCGGTGAACATGGCACACAATAGCATGGAAATTTCTGAAACATATTTACAACATTGATAGGACATGCTTCAAAGGAACAAATTTCAAATCAGCATGGGATCCACACATCTGGAAACAAAAGGGAGAAATCATGTGAATAGTAGCTACTATTACTAGCATAATTTGAAATCAGCTAGTACAGTGCACATAGCCTTTTTCTTTGTTTCTCAAGTGTGCATTGAGTTTGGATTTGGAATCTTGTTACTTGGTAGGTGCATCTTTTGTCAATGTTCTAAAACTGTATCAGAAATTTTTGTGACGTTTTGGTGGTGCTATTGTATGTTGGTAGCGCAGTAGCATTGTGTAAGGTAGGAAGCGCCAGATATGTGTAATATAGGCTTGAATATGTAATGTCACTAATCATGTTTTATCTTTTTCAGTCTGCTGTTGTGCATGTCTGTGAGGCAACACTATTTAAGCGCTTGATAGAGTTTGAAAATACAGATTCTGGTAGCTTAACGGTATGTATGTGCTCCTCATGAAATAGCCAAATGTGGGTTTTCTATTGTATATTGTCTTACATTTTTCTGAACCTCAAATCACTTTCGTAAGCCATCTGATGAAAATATAACCACTCCCAGTCATCACTCCATTAAAACCTATATAGACTGTTTACAAAGTACAAAGACACGAGTTTGTCTAACCTATGCTACAGTAAAGTAAACATAGGCTATTCCCTACAGTGCAGAGACACAAGTAGAACAAAAAGTCACTACACTTACGGGCGCTTGAACCCCTCCACTGTTGGGTAGGGCAGCCGTCAACGTCCAAGCTTCAGTGGTGTGTTCGTCCTCCTGTCAGTGGAGGGTGAGTCCCACTGATGGGTACTTCCAGTGGCGGGACTAACAGGACTACTCATCAGTGTCGTGTTTACCCGATGTTTTTCTGTTGCTGGCCAGTGTTAAGTTCTTCAGTTTTTTAAATTATAATTGCACAAAATTCATATGCAATTGTATTGCACATACACCACAACACGGGTATATGCATTGCACAACAGATCATTACATTACACGTTGCATGTTCCACATTCACCTTAAGGAAAAATTCTTACAAATGTTCATCAATATGTTTCGTTCATTATACTATGATTTTTCAAAAATTCATTCTGGGATTGAAGTAAATGAGTACGATCCTAGCAGACTATGGTGTGTGTGCTTATTGTGTTACTTCTAGAAAGACAAGAGCAGGACAATGACAAGAAGTGTTCAAACACATTGATGTCAAAGACATCCTTCAACACCTCTTGCATCTCCCCCTTCGTTATTCTCTAAAGTAACGCAGCCACACACATTGGAGGCCGTGGCACTCATTTACTTAAATCCTGCAGGGATTCTAGAAAAATAGTGTACTAATCTATATAAATCTAGCTATCCTACATGTCATACTAATCTATCTAGCTAGGCTATTGTATCTTTGCCTTGCTTATTATCGCTTCATGCTTGCCAAAATAATTAAAAAATTCAAGTTTATTACGAAACCCTAGAAATGCCTCAGCTTGATGAACGGAACCACAAACGCCTCACAGTAGAGCCGTGGCTTGATGGCCGGCACATGGCTGAAAGCCTGAAACAAGGAGAAGCCTAGGTAGTTACCTTCGCTGGCCTGGCGGTGGAGGCTCTGGTGGTGAACGGCTGGCCGACACAGACCCGAAACAAGGACAAGCCTAGGTAGTTACCTTGGCTGGCCTAGTCGTGGAGGTTTCGCTAGTGAGCGGCAGCCTCTGGTGTAGGTGCAACGGGATCCAATGGGTGCCACCATCGCCATGGCCAACCACACCAAAAATGGGAGGGTATTATAGGGGAGCATGGCGGGATCCTGACATAGCCGGTAGAGGAATGGCCCAGGGAGGGGACTCCTGCACCGCTAGATGTCGTGCATCCGAGGATGATTTAGTAATGGAAGGAGAGGATGGAATGCGGTAGTGGTCATAGGAGGGGGTTTACGACAGCAGAGGGACTTCGAGTTTTTCGGGTGTTCTTATAGAGGCGAGGGTAAGGTATGTAGATTTTTGGATTTGCCTCCACTGATGGGTGTAAGAGCATCTAAGAGGGTAAACCTCAATCAAACGCCCCTAATTGTCCACGGACAGTCGGGCGGGCGCCGAACCTCTAAGGCTAGCGCTTAAATATCCCCTACTCATCTGCCTCCCCCCCCCTCGATAAAGTCAAGTAATCAAAGATAAATACTACAATGCATCCATTTTTCAAAGATAAATATTCCAGTGCAACAATAATTCAAATATATAATATTATACAATCCAAACATAATGTTTTCAAATAAAATAGTTTAAACTTAAATTCAATTTATCTGGCACATGCTCTAATTGTTTGAGTGAAACACCCACGGATGCTCCACTAGATCATTTAGAAGTTGTGTATGATTTGCTCGGTTGTGAATCTGTTGATCCATCGACAGAAAATTCCCAAACGTTGCCGCCTCTTGATGTGGAAGCTGGACAGATTCACGCATATGTTTGAAATCGAGAACATTGAGAACATTCTCTCCCTCATCCTCCACAATCATATTGTGCACAACATGATTGTGGATCGCACAATATGTCATCACCTCCCACAATGTCTGTGGATCCCATTGTTTAGCAGATCTGCGAACAAATGCAAACATGCTTGAAACACTCGAAATGCCCTCTCCACATCCTTTCTAGCACCTTGTTTTGTAACAAAATGAGATTTCTTGGTACCTATTGGACTGGAGATGGTCTTGACAAACCTCGACCACGGAGGATGGATACCATCGTCCATCAACAAGGTAGCACCCCATGTTGTAGTCATGCCCATGATGGTATAGTTGCACTCTAGAACATTGCGAGCATTCGAAATGCATAACTCGAAATTACTAAAGACTAAAGCTAGAACATCTATAGTGGCAGACAAGGGAAAATCGTAACGAAGGAGACTACCTTAGAACAACTTAAAATCAAGATATTGGGGGGAGCTTTCTGGCTTGCAGTGTCTGGCCTGTTCATACTAATTAACAATCATGATATTCAAGGTACGTATCTTGATAAGATCAGGCAACGGAAAAAGCTTGGCTCGTGAAGGGTAATGAACGGAGCCAGCTTGGTTCAATGTATATTCTTTTGTCTCCTCACACAGCCTTGCAAACAATGGTGACCGCTGGAGCATGTTGATGTTATTGTGAGACCCTAGCATGCCAAAGAGAGTGCCAAATCCAGAGTCTTGTGATGCAACTGCTTCATTAATGATGGTGGGAGTTTTAACATGGCCTTGTTTTGCCCTTGTTGAGCATGGGGGCAGTTCTCCCATTTCCAGTGCATGCAATCCATGGATTCGAGCATACCCGGAAACCTTCTTGATTCTTCAAGTGCCAAAAGCCTCCAAGTCCTCGACATTTGGTTCTCTCAAGAACTCCGGTCCAAACGTCTTTACCTTTGCACTAGCAAATCTAACCATTACTTCCGAGCATGTGCTCTCAGACATCTGGAGGTACTCACCCCACTAGTCTGTATCTGTGCCATACCATAGTAGTTGTGCACTTCTGGAGACCAGAGAACCCAAGCACGCCAAGGGCATCCCTCTTTAACTTGAAGTAATCATCATAAGCCTTGACATCATCCACGATGTGCAAGAACAATGACATGTGCATTCGGTAGCGACGATGAAAAAAGCTCTTGAATAACGCATCGGGGGCAAAGTACTCGTCTATAGATCAACATGGCCCCTTGCCCGACGCCTATCGAAAATTCAATGTCCCGACATTGAGCCCTTGAAGTTGAGAACATGCTCCTCCGCATTCCCCGTTTCTTGAAGAACCGCCACCATTATCGCCATTTCATTCTCCTCCTCATTCGACGAAGACCAACCCATGAACTTGTTGTAGAAGTACTCCGAATCCATCGTGTTTCCTTCAAAGTAAACAAAAGTAAAAGAATGCACTATGGCATTTGACTGAACACTTGCCGTGCGTAGTTCTGCCATGGACCATGTCAGCAGAGGCGGCGGGCGGATCTTGCTGAGCTCCGACAAGGC